CACAAGCCTGCCTCCTGATCGTCAGTACACAGCCCCTCTCCCTCTCTGTGTCTAAAGTCCCCAGCTGCTCCATCTCTCTACATTATCATATAATGCATTCTTAAAGAGCAAAGATGTCACTTTGAGGACTAAGGTGTGTATAACCTAAACCATGGTATTTTCAATGACCTCATATGTGTATAAATGTGGATAATGAATAAGAAATACTGGAGAATTGATGCATTTAAATTGTGATTTTGGTGACGAATATTCAACATATCATGGACTGCCAGAAGAACAAACAAATCTCTCTTGGAATAAGTACAGCTAGAATGCTCCTTAGAAGCAAGGATGGAGAGACTTTGTTTCACGCACTTTGGACAAGTTATCAAAAGGGACCAGACCCTTGCAAAGAACATCGTGCTTAGTAAAATAGAGGGTCAGCAAAAAAGAGGAAGACATCACTGAGATATATTGACACGGTGGCTGTAACAACAGACTCAAAGATAACAATTCTCTTTGGTGCAGGTTCAGACAGTGTTTCTTTCTCTTGTACATAGAATCCTATGAGTTTAAACGGACTCAATGCCACCTAACAACAAAAACACAATGGGGAATAAGGATATAATCCCTTAAGAAATTTGGAATTTATCAGAAATCTGTTCTGAAATATCTTACCTGTAGAATACTAGACTTGTTCATCAAATTCAGTTCTCAACCTTTGTCTTTCATTAAAACAAAAAATTGATCATTGTTGTTTTATTCAAAGTTTTCATTGACATAGAATTATTTTCATGCTTTTCTTGATAACTACTTTTGTTGCCACTCTCTTAAAATTTCTTTCCAAGATTTTAAGGTCTTCCTGATTTGTTATATTCTTTTTTTGTGATTATGATCAAAGGATATGTAAAAATCAGTAAAATAACTTATCAAAAAATCTACTGATTTCATTTTGTGATTTGGACTCCATTTTGCTTGCAATTGTTGTTGCTGTTGTTAAGTGCATGTAGTCAGCTTTGACTCATAGGAACCCTGTATATGGTTTTGAGGAGTAGCTGTTGAATTTGAATGATCTCTCTGTTGTTTAGCAGTACAGTGTTTATCCTAGACTTTTTCAATGAAAAGAGAGAAACAAAATAGCAGTTGCAAATGAATTTATGCTGATTCACAGGTAGAAAACTCCAAACAATCATAGTTTATCAATAGAAATCAGTAGTACTATTTTGATATAAATGTCATTACATTACTTACCTAGAAAAGAACAAAATGCATAATGCTATTTATTATTAAACATTATATTTTAATTCAATTGCACTTAAGAAAAAAATAATGTCTTTCTGGAATGTGTAATTTTTTTTTTTTCAACCCAGATCATTGTTTTCTGAAATTGAGATACTTTTGGACAAATGTGAATGAGATTTGATAATATTAGAAGCTTCAGAGAGATTTCTTTTTAAATTCATTTTGAAGGCAACAGGAAAGATGCATGTGCTTTTATGGCTTAGGTAGATAAAGAAACTCAGAGTTTCTGTTTTCTTATAAGGTAGCACACATGAGTGTTGACTAAGAAATTAACATTGCTATGAAGATAGAGAACCAACCTGGGAAGCAGACTAAGAGCCAAATGATTCTGGCAATACAGAAAAATGTAATAGACCTTTGGGGAATTCATTTTATTTTTCTTTTCCAGTGCCATTTTTAACACGATTTATCTGTTTGTCCTTCTGAATTGACTTGTGTATTCTGAAAGCTATGCCATCATTATTTTAAATATCAGCATGGTCACCAATGGTAGACAGATTTCAGTTGAGTTTCCAGACTGAGACTGTTGCTAAGTGTGACGAGTCCATTTTGACTCATAGTGACTCTGTATAGGGTTTCCGAGGAGCGGCTGGTGAATGTGAATCCTCGACCTTGAGATTCAAATGACCTTGTGGTCCAGTACTTATCCTAGAGCAACACACCAGGACTCCAAAACAAACTAGGAAGAAGGAATATGTGGTCCATTTTTGAAGGATTACCCTTAAAAGCATTAGGTATAGAAGCATTCCAAACACTATCTAATATGGTGCTGGAAGATGAGTTTCTTAGGCTGTAATACACTCATAATATGACGTAGGAAGAGCTGCCTTTTCAAAATAACATAACAACAAATGTGTATTGATTTTTATTGTCAGCACTCCATTTAGTTTACAATTAGACTTGTCAAAAGATAAAACAAAAATTTCTATAGCTGTTGATTTTTATCTCACACAATGATATATTACATAAAGAAAGTGGTTAAATGTCATAAGTGAATCTATGAGATTCACAAGCAGAAAAGTTTCAAATAAGCATGTTTAGTTAATGGAAATTAGTAGTGCTATAGTGGTATTAAAGAGCCATTTCATTAATTCTGTAAAATACAACAAAATGTCATTAATTATTAAGGATTTTATTTTACATCCAAATTATTATTAAGGAAAAATAATGGCTTTCTAAAATATATCATTGTTTTTAAATCAAGAACATTGTTTTCTAATATTGAGATTAAAAAAGAAATATGGAAGTAAGTTTTGATAATATTAACAGTCTTTAAGGAAAGTCTACAGAAACCTTCTCATTTCTGAGGGAACAAGAAAATAAGTGCATTTTGATAATGTAGGTAGATACTGAAAATCATAATTTCAGTTCTCTCATGAGGTACCACATGTGAGTGTTGACTCAGATATTAATACAAGGGGATTTCAAAAATTTCCTGAGAAAATGGAATTAAAATGCAAAATAAATAAATGAATAAACTTTATTACTCAGCATAAGCATCATCAAGGTCAAAATCTTTTTTTAAGCAATGATATCAGTCATTTAACCCATATTTCTATAGAAGTGAGGGTCCTGGGAATTTAACCAGGTCAATGCTGTCTTTTTTATATTATTTATTGAAGAAAAATGGGTTCCCATGAAAGATTTTTTAAGGTTGAAAAATAAAATAAGTGAGAAGGAAACAAATTAAACAAGACAAAATTGCCCTTGTTTGGCAAGAGGAATGAGGAGGAGCATTGTTGTGGTGGGGAAGGATTCTCTGGTGAAGCATTCCTATGATCTATTATAGCTTTGGCCAACTTTCTCAAAACACTCTCCTAATAAACAGATGCTATCATCCTTTGACCATCCAGAAAGTCAAAAAGCAAAATGTCTTGAACATCCCCAAAACCTGTTGTCATGACCTTTGCTCTTGACAGGTCCACTTCTGCTTTTACTGGACCACTTCTACCTCATTGCTTTGAATGTGCTTTGTCTTCAGGCAGGGTTGTACTAGTAAAGTCATGTTTCATCATCTACTACCATTCTTCCAAACATTGCTTCAGGATCTGAATTCAGATTGTTTAAAATTTTTATTGAAAGCTCTGCTTTTGTCTGCAACTGAGATGGCAGCAGCAGTTTTGTCATCCATGAAACAGAAATTTGTTCAAATTTTATTTTCAGTCAGAATTTCGTAAGCTGACCCAATTATGATGTCTGTGGTATTAGTTACTATTTTTTCAGTTAATCATTGAACTTCTTCAATTAGGGCTTAAAGAAGATGAATTGTTTTCTCAAAATTAACGTGAATGATTTGCTGCTGAGGGTTTCATCTCAACATTGTCTTATCCCTTCCTAAAACGAGTTATCCATTAGAAAGTCCTAACTTCTTTAGGGGTATTTTCCCCTTAAACTTTTTGTAAAATATAAACTATTTCACCATCTTCCATCCAAGCTTCATTATAAATTTGAGGTTTGTTCTTGCTTCAATTTTAGCAGAATTCATGTTATTCTGATAGAGGCTGTTTTCAAACCAATGTCTTGCTCTTCTTAGAGCTTCAAATTAGATCTTGTTCAGATAATTTACAACAAATCAATATAAGTTTATTTTGGTACAAAACATTTTGAAATCCACACATAGTTTTTTTCATAATACTTATTTTTCATGAACTTTTTGAAGACTCCTTGTACTGTTGAGAAGACAGAGAACCCACCTTAGTACCACAGTAAGACAAATTATCCTGGCTATACAGAAAAATGGAATCCCAGTGTGGCATTGTAGGATAAGCATCATGTTGCTAACTACAAGGTCGGTGGTTCAAACTCATCAGTGACTTCTCAGAAACCCTATACGGGGTCACCATGTGTCAGAAGCGACATGATGGCACTTAATAAAAACAACATATAGAAAAATGTGATAGACTTACTGATGACACATTTCATTTTCCCTTTTAACTAATGCCATTAGAAAACTTTGACAAATCATTTTTTTAATAGGTTCTGGTGTGGTGCTATATGTTAAGCACTGGACTGCTAACCTCAAGGTTGGCAGTTCAAAACCACCAGCCACTACTTTGAAATCTTATGCAGGATCACTATAAGTCAGAATGGACTTGATGGCACTTAACAACAACAACAACTAGGTCCTCTGAAAGAAGGTCATGATGTGATGCTATAGGGTAAGCACTGAACGGATAATAACAAGGTTTATAGTTCCAACCCACCAGCCACTGCTTGGAAGCAAACGGGTGGCTATGAGTCTTGGTTCCGACGCAACAGCACTAAACAGTAACAACAACTGAAGACCAAGGGAGCCTTTGGTTGATGATTTTTATAATAGTCAATATTTTAAAACCCCAAAAAACATTTATCAATGTTTTATAGTACCAGCTTTGGTAGCGTAAGGAGCTCTGGTAGCATAGTGGTTATGAATTGGGCAGCTAATGTCATGGTCAGAGGTTCGAAACTACCAGCAGTTCTGCTGGAGAAAGATGAGGCTTTTTGCTCCTGTAGATATTTACAGCCTTAGAAACCCTATGCAGGGTGGCTATAAGTCAGAACTGACTCCACAGCACATAATAAGAACAACAACATATTCAAATAACTTTTTATGGCTGATTTTGAAAAGCTTGCTGTATGTCACTTGGCTTATTCTATGTACATCCAGTAACATAAATTGTATAAGAAACCTTTTAAAAACTTTAATAATATCCTGTTTCTGTATAAATTCTCTTTTTGATCTAGGAGCTTTCTCTACAACTCAAAAGAGAACTCCAGAGTCTCTTCATTGATGCCTTCATTTCTTTGTTTCTGAGAGTATAGATAATTGGATTCAAGATGGGAGTGACAATGGTATAAAATACAGCAAGGAACTTATCTACTGAGTGGTTGCTGAAAGGCCAGATATAGATGAAGATACATGGACCAAAGAAGAGAATCACCACTGTGATGTGAGCAGTCAACGTGGAACGGGCTTTGGACTGCCCAGCCGAAGAGTGACTCCTAATGGTAATGAGGATCAGACTGTAGGATATGAGCAAAATAAGGAAACAGCTGATAGAGATCATCCCACTGTTGGCAACAATAACTATCTGTAAAATATAGGTATCTATGCAGGCAAGCTTAGTAACCAGAGGCAGATCACAGAAAATGCTATCTACCACATTGGGGCCACAGAAAGGCAAATTCACAACAAAGGGAATCTGAAGCCCTGCATGAAGCAGACCTAAGAACCATGAGATCACTACCAGCAAAACACACATTTTCTTGTTCATGATAGCCATGTAATGTAGGGGCTTACAAATGGCCACATATCTGTCATATGCCATGGAGACCAACAGTATCATTTCAACCCCACCCAGAAAGTGAAGGAGAAAGATCTGAGTGAAACATCCAGCAAAAGAAATGGTCTTATGCTTTTTTACTAAGTTCACAATCATCTTTGGTGTGGCAAAAGAAGCAAGTGTCATATCCACAAAGGAGAGGTTGCCAAGAAGAAAGTACATGGGGGTATTCAGGCTTGGGGTATATGAAATTGTGACTACAATGAGAAGGTTTCCCAAAATTGTGATTACATAAATAACTGAGAAGAGTGCAAAGAGCAGAAACTGTATATCCTGGGAGCCGATCAGTCCCAGCAAAATAAATTCTGACACTTGGGACTGATTGGATTGTCTCAGGGACTCCATTGCATGGCATGTACTGGGGTGACCTGTAGAGAGAAAGAAGAGAGCACTAGCAGTGTAGAGGTTGACAAGAGTTTGTTTCTATTGTTGTTGTTCAGTAAGGTAGAGTCTGGTCCAACTCATAGCAACTCGATATAGAGTTTCTAAGGAGTGGCTCGTGGGTTTGACCCACCAATCTTGTGGTTAGCAGTCCAGTGCTTCTCCTACAGCATCACACCAGGACTCTTTGGGGTTTTTTTTTTTCTTTTCCTTCCTAGAGGTCCTTCACTAATGTCAATTGAATTGGAGATTTAGTGTCATTTGGTATTACCTCTAAGAGGGAGGCAACCGTAGTCCAGACTTTTTACCTGAATTCTAATCCTATTTTGTAAGCAATAAACTTTATGATGCAGTTTCTACTATATTTGTCTTCATAATCATAATCATAGCTCAATTGTGACCAAAAAATGCTGTTTATTTGGGGAAAATAAGATATGTTTTCCAAAATCTCTCTCTCCTTTCTCTCTTTTGTACATATAAACTTCTTATTGACTAAATATAAAAACAAATTAAAAGTAGAATTATTAATTTTTTAAAAATTAATGTTTTAAGATAATTTTAAAGGAAGAAAGCCCAAAAAGTTAAAAGCAAAATATGGATAGATGTGATAAACTAATTTTGAAAAAAGTCATAAATGATGTATTAAAATTGTAAAAAGTTAAGACTCTACATGAGTAAATTATTACAAAACATGAATTGTACTTCTTAAATATATAAGCTCAAAGTGGAAGGCACGATTCCATAAATAGGGCAGATAACAGGACATCATATATCCTTCTCTGAGGTTTAGTTGTAGTGAGGCAGAGGACCACTATTTCTATGGACTCAAGGTACGTTTATTTCTGGTGTTTAATAAATTGCCTTTATTGGAAAGGTCATGTCAAAGTTCACTGACAGAAAAAGAAAGCCCAAAATTCTAACATGAGCTAGCATGAAAGAAGTTGTAACCTGGCTTTCAATCCATTACAAAATTCTCAGTTTTCATGGGGACAGATGTTTTGAATACTGTATGTGGCTGATTCTGGATGCCATGTATGTGAGCCAATTTGGTGCTTTCCAAAAAATGTAGGCTTAGCAGGTGTATTTAAGAAAACATTTAAAAACATTAGAACCTAGACTTGTGATACTACTTGGAAACCATTTGTAATAGGGAGAAAGTAAGTCTTAATCTGTCATTCTTTACTTATGTAAGATATGTCTGAAAGAATGGCAATGGTGACAACAGCAAAAACAATAGGCTGGTAAACTTTGCAGTGCTCCCTATCACTTGTATCATTGAATAAGTCTCCTGCATTCTTGGATAGAACAAGAGCAAGAGAAACATCAATAGTGATCTATTAGTAGATTGCTGGCTAATTTAGCTATTGATTCCTATCATAATTAATTGGAAACAAAAAATATAATGTGTTCATATTAATTCCCACCCTGGTGAACATGTCAGACTTATTACAAAAAGGAGATAGTTAACAAGTGGGAGAGAAGGATAAATAGTAATTGTAATGGTGGAGACAGCAAGAGGCCAATCCTGCAAGCTTTGGGGTGGATGCCATTATAAAGGGAGAACATGCAGAGTAGAAGGAAAGGAGGATAAGAAAGAGGAACTTTATTGAAAGCAAGTATTCAGGGTGAAATTGTAGAATAAGGTGGAGCTATGAAGATTGTATAAGATTCTTGAAGAGGTAGGAATGAAAAGAAGCGTCCTACATTGTGGGAATTAAGAAAGAAGAATGGGTCAGTGCTATAGACTTTCATCACAAATGCTGAAAACTGACCATGGACCATCATATTTGAAATCATCCCAATCATTATTTAACTCAGTAGAAATACTTACATTAGAATAATTGGGACTAACTCCATTGTCAGAGTGTATATGAGTGAATAAGAATTGTGAGACCAAATAATGAAGGGTTGATCGGGAATTTGAAACAATGGGTGAGACAGTTATTTTAAGAAGTTTTAGGATGAAGAGCAAGGAAAGATGACATAGTGGGCAAAGGAAAAGCAGAAGTAAGAAAGATGATCTCGATGCATTAACATACTGGTGTAAAGTATCTGAAAGATAGGGTTTTAAAAATGCACCAGCCACTCTGCCAGAGTAAGATGAAGCTGTCTGGTCCCATAAAGAAATTCTATTTAAGGTGCCTATGAGTTGGAATTGACTCAAGGCAGTGGCCTTGAGTCCTGCCTATAGCTCTGTGGGTGTCTCCCCTAAACTGAAATATTTCATAGTCCTTTTATGAGGAAAATATTTATTTTAGGTACAAGGAATTCTTGAACTGTGCTCTTGTCTTCTCTGAATTTAATTTGCTGAGGAACTCTACCCTTCACCTGTTAATTGTAGTTGCTACCAAATAAAGACCTAAATATCTACCTGCAAAAATTTAAACTTTGAAAACCTTGTGGAGTACAGTTCTACATTAATAGACATGAGGCAGCTATGAGTTTGAATTGACTCAAATTCAACTGGTTTGATTTTGGAGTTTTTGTCTCTGTTTAACCCCGCATTTTATAGTAGTTCAAAAAAACTTGTTGCTAAGTACGTTCAAGTCAGCTCCAACTCATAGCAACCCTGTGTAGGCTTTCCAAAGAGCGGCTGGTAGGTTTGAACCATCAACTTGGTGATTAGCAGTTCAGTTCTGAATTCACTCTCAGGTTACAGATTTCTCAATTCTTATTCTCTGTAGCATCCCCTTTTACTCAACATATATAACAACAACAAAGAAACTCACTGTTGAATTGATTGATATTCAGTGTCACCCTATAGGAGAGTAGAAATGCCCATAGGATTTTTCAAGGCAGATCTTTGCAGAAGCTAACTGCTTCATTTTCGTCCAGTGAACAGCTGGTGGATTTCAATCACCTACTTTATGGTTAAGGAGCTCACAATGTAATGATTTACCTGTTTGGCTGCTATCTGCAAGGTCAGTAGTTCAAGTCCACCAGCTGCTTTGTGGGAGAAAGATAAGACTTTATGTTCCCATCAAAATTTTTATACAACCACAGAAACCCTATAAAGTGTCACTATGTGTCTAACCTGACTAGACGGCACACAACCACCACTACCACCAACCACTTTACTGTTGGCAGTCCGATGTTTAATCCACTGTATCAACAAGGCTCCTCCCTAAACATCATGTCCCTCATTTTTTATTTCTTACATTCTGTTGTTTTCCTTTCTAGACACCAGTTCTGAAGTCCAATTTACTGGGGTGTTTGTGGAATCATTGCTCTTCCTATTGGAGAGAGGAATTGGACAGGGCTACTGCTCAGATTTGGAAGGATCCTGGGTGGAGCAGTGATTATAGCTCTCCACTATTAACTGAAAGGTCAGTGGGTTGAACCCATCATCCAAGGAGAAAGATGTGGTAGCCTGCTTTCATAAAAATTCCAACCTGGATACTTTGATGGCACAGATTCTAATCTGTCCTATAGAGTCTCTGTGAGTGGAAACAGATTCAGAGACAGTGGATTAGTTTGCTATTCAGATTACACAAAAAAGCCAAGGCACAAAATAAGTAAAATTAGGGGTGGGGTAATCTAAGTAAAGTCAAATTGAGGTGATAGAACTTGTGAGGCTTCTGCAGTTGCTAAGAGAAGTATAGGACAGGCCTATATTTTTCATCTAGCATACACTTACATTTTCCTACCTTGTCTTTATTTTTCCAAGTATCTCAGCAGACACTCTAAAGTCAGCAACTGTAGCACTAAGAATTTTTCTCCTGGAGTTTGCTAAGGCTTAATCAGCAACTCCTGGTGTGGCACTGTAGGATAAGCACACGTCTGAGAACCACAAGATCCGAGGTTCAAACCCACCAGCTGCTCTTTAGAAACGCTGTACATGGTTGCTATGAGTCAGAACTGACTCAATGGCACTTAACATCTACAACAACAACAATCAACAATACAAAACCCATACAAAAATTCAAATGAGGTACCTATTTGGACTTAAATGTCTCTTAAATTGACTTGTAGTTTTGAGACAGGCTGTTTTAATAATTTGCGTTAGCAGCAGCCTAATTCTTCTCTCAAATATTTCTAGAAAGGATGATTTCAGGGAATTTAACTTCCTATTAAAAATAAATGCATGTATATTAATCAGTGACTTATCCTCTTGCTTTTCAAACTCCTTCTAGCCACCTTTAATGCCTAAATAAAATAATACCTTTTTGGTGAAGCCGTTTCTAACAAACTGAGTGAGAATTTATGTTCCTCTCTTCTGTGACCCTTTGTAAACTGTGATGGAATCACTTGTTTATATTACTGTCTTTATCCCAAAATTGTGAAGTCTTTGATTAATTCACAATTTTTCTTAGCACCTTGCATAGTTCATGGCATGTAATGAAGTCTTAAAATTATTTCTTCTATGATGAAAAACACAGTTCTTTATTGAGTCTCTGTTATGCACGTTACTCTACTAGAAATAAACTTTGCATAAATCACCTCACTAATTTTTATAGTATTGAGTTCAATTCTCTTTTTTCACCCATTTTTCATAATATCTGGCACATTTTCCCTATTCTGAGTCTCTGCCTTTTCATGACTGACTATACAAATTCATTTAACAATTGTTAATTTAACTGAGATGTAATGGGAAAATATGTTGACCTTATTGTGTTAGTGATATTTCTTTTGCTTACCAGTTCAGAAGCAGTAATAGGCAACAAGTTCAGATGGAAAATTATCTAGAAGGGCAGAAACCTTCTGACTTTATAGCATGACAAGAAGGAGCAAGTCAATAGCATTTATACACTCCAACATGAGGACTTTCTAATATAGTCTCTGTTAGTGTCTAATCAATGCTAGGAACTCTAGCAGTTCTCACTAGGTAATTCTAATGGGAATTCTAACTGTTGAGGGAATAAACTTTAGGGGTATAATGTGGTTAGTAGTGATTTGTACTTTAGCATTAATGACAGCTTGTGCGTGATAAAGTCAGGTCCATTAGGGAGATTGGGGATGTTTTAGTTAATGACTTGCTTTGATCTTTTTCTTGTTTTCATCTAGCA